GTTGCAGGAAATAAAGACTCTTAAACTTGCCGTGGAGGCTCTCTGGCTTTCAGAGCATTCCATGAGTGGGTAATTAACTGCGCTGAGCCTGTCATTTTGTTTCCAACGTCTCTCATACCTTGTAATTATCATTGTTTCCAAACTGATTGACTGCCACAGCCACTCGATCTCCTAATGTCTTGCTCTCCACCCAATTCACCCCAATTAAACACAAGTGAAAGCTGAGGTGCTCCTGCGTACCAGAGTTCTTGCCTTCCCTCTTATCACCAGCAAAAGGTTCTACTGATTTCAGACGGGGAGGCAACACAAGCCCGAAATCCATCCTGAGCATCTGCTTTCCAGAACCACCTGTGGAACCAATTGTTTTAGCTCAGTTTCCCTAGAAAAGCAGGATCTGAAGCCACGAGTAAATCTGCTGGGGAAGGCAGCCAGAGTGAGCAAAACAGGGAACCGGGAGAGGACAGGATGGGAAGGATTGCAAGGTGGGGTGTTCTCACGCCGGTAGCTGCTTCACAACCGGCTGCCGAGAGCCACGGCAGGTCCCTCAATAGGGACGTCTGCTCAGCCGAGCAGGCCATCTCCAGACAGGCTATGCTGGAAAATCACGCCTCGGAGTTGTCCGCAGAAGGGAGGACGGAAAGCGGACTTACCTGCCCAGCTCCCTCCCAACTCCTGTTTCTCACTGATCAAAAGGATTTGATTGCTTAAGATGCATCACCTAGCTGCTCCGATGATGCCACATCTGCAGTGTAGCCTCTCCTCTGAGTCTAGAAGTCGTGGGGGAGTCAGAGACTCCGCACGTGTGGCTGGCCAGCCTGGGGCAGGTGACTACTCAGTTGCAGGCGGCTGGACTGCACAGATGGGGCAGGCCACGGGGCAGTGGCAGAGCCAGGAGAAAGGCGGGTCTAGCCACGGTGTGTTCGGTATACGCCTTACGAGGCTATTAACATCAACAAGGGGTGGAGCTAGAAATATGATCCTTCAGGTGGGATTTTGTCTGAAATATCTTTGAGACCCCAGCAGCTGGCACTTGAAAAAGGAGATACTATTTGACCCGTTTTTCTTTCTTTTTTTTTTTTTTTAAGATTTTATTTATTTGACAGAGAGGGAGACAGCGAGAGTGGGAACACAAGCAGGGGGAGTGGGAGAGGGAGAAGCAGGCTGCCCCCAGAGCAGGGAGCCCGATGCGGGGCTCGATCCCAGGACCCTGGGATCACGACCTGAGCCGAAGGCAGACGCCCAACGACTGAGTGACCCAGGTGCCCCTTGACCCGTTTTTCTTGCTCCAAACCTTCCATTACACATGTCTGCTATTCCAGTCATTATGTCCACAAAGGCTCTCGGAGGTTGAGCCTCTAGTTCTCACACGTCCCTGTTCAAATCAAAAGTTGGCTCTGTACCACTGTGTGTGTGTGTGTGTGTGTGTGTGTGTGTGTGTGTGTGTGTGTATACATATATATATATATATCTCCACGTCACTCTTACTAGTTGAACTTTGAAAACCCATCATCTGTCTGGCCTGGGTTCAGTGTTACATAACACTAAATACACAAGGATATTAAGAATAGAGTTGGCTGGTCCATGCAATAAGCACAATTCTCTAACGCAAAAGAATTCTCAGGAAAAGGGCCCTCTGCCTCTCAGTCCTTCGCTGGGATGGCACAGTTCACTTCAGAAGCCTTCTTAACGCCTTTTAGGAAAAGTAGCCAAATCTCCTAGTTCTCTTCATATGCCATGTCACTTGGGCCCCAACGGCACCCAGCCCCCAGGGAAGAAGAGAACAGACAGTTGGAATTTTGGAGATGACCAACAAAGGCTTTTCCCCCAACTCTCAGGGAGTTTTGTGATGCCTGGAGCAGAAACATGAACTGATAACCTTCTTTGGTCCATAAGATTTGATTCAGGTAGAGCAGGATCCAGGCCCTGGTATAACAGGTTAATTGCACTTGTTTGGACTTGGCCTGAGTGGGACACTAGGAAGTGATGCCAAGGAAGGTGAAACTTGCCAGACATTCTTCAATGTTCGCCAGCTGATCACTTGGATTTTCTCCTGCAGTATTGTGAGGCCAGATTCTCATCCCGTGCACACAGGTCTTCATCCTCCTATCGCCTCCTGGACTTGAAACTCAGAGGAAGTAAGGAGAGAGGGGCGGATGGGAGAGATGAGTGAGCAGAGAGGAAGGATGTTCAAGATGAGAAAGCAGATCACTCACTGAGGCATGTGTTCTTTCAATGGAGAAATGAAACCTGAGGCAATTATATGGTGAGAGGATAATTTTCTCTCAGTTTCCTGATTTTTTTTAAGGGTTCTGTTTCACTTGCATCATTCAGATGATTTCCTGAATCGGCCCATTTCTTGTTGTCTGAATGGACCTACATTATTGTTCTCCCTGTCCAGAATCCAGGTCTCCGTGTGCAGTGCCCGGCTCTCAGCGGTACTCCAGGGCCTTCGCTGCACTGGCGGCTCACCATGCCCTCCACCATCAGTAGCTCTTTGATGACCACGTTCTTAATTCCAGGTTAACTTAGCATTGCTATGACAACTGCTTACCCTCCCAAAGCTGGCAGCGAGTGTAAAGAGAAAGGATATTATGGCCACGTTCCTAAGTGTCCCTGAGAGAGGAAACCCCAGAGAATCACAGAGCCAGAATAGAACTTGGAGTGCATGCGTGTGTGAGTTTGGGGAGGGGTGTTCTACTCTCCTCTTTTCAGAAAGAGAAGTTAAGGCCTAGAATAGGCAAGTGGCTTGCTTGGGTCACGCAGCTTAGCCAAGTGACAAACCTGGACTTAGAGCCTGGCCCTGGGTCAGTAGTCTGGTGCGCTCCCATCTTAGTTTTCTTTTCTTTTTCTTAAGAAAAAAAAAAAAGGGAGGGGGTGCCAGGGTGGCTGAGGCGGTTGAGCGATGGACTCTTGATTTCAGCTCAGGTCATGATCTCCCGGGTGGGGGCTCAAACCCCACATCTGGCTCCCTGCTCAGTGTGGAGTCTGCTTGTTCCTCTCCTTCTGCTCCTCCCCCCCCAAAATAAATAAAATCTTTATTATTTTTTAAAAAGATTTTATTTGACAGAGAGAGACACAGTGAGAGAGGGAACACAAACGGGGAGTGGGAGAGGGAGAAGCAGGCTTCCCGCGGAGCAGGGAGCCCGACGTGGGGCTCGATCCCAGAACCCTGGGACCATGACCTGAGCCGAAGGCAGATGCTTAACGACTGAGCCACCGAGGCGCCCCAATAAATAAAATCTTTTAAAAAAAAGGGGGGGGGAGAGAGAAAAAACGTGTCCATAAGGAAAAAGTGTTTTGTGGAGAGTGTGGAAAAGCTCCCACTTCGCCATGGCTTTCAAGCATCTCTCCAGCCCCTACTCGAACTCTAGCTGTGACAGAATAGTTGGGGCCTCACTGACTTCCTGGGTCTTAGTGGCGCATATCAGCACGGGTTTAAAAGGAATTTATTAATCATGACTAACGTCAGAAGGTACATACTATGCCCCCTTGTCGGTTTTGGAAAATTTGTATTTTGAGATTAAAAAAAAAAAAAAAAGATTTAATTTTGTGCCGTCGTGTGACAACAGCCCCTGCCTACACTGTCCGTCACTCTCTGCTAGGGGCAGGTGACTGTGCCCAGTCTTCCTCCGGGAACGAAGTTCTAAGGACAAGCCCTATGATACCTCGGGGTCACTTCTTGGGTGGCTTTGTTTCTCCTCTGCTTCCCACAGTTGCAAACCTTCGCAGTGCCACCCTCCCTGGGGAAACTCGGTCTTAAGTCCCATGGACAAACGCTCCAGCCCCGCGGGGCTCCCAGGACAAGACAGCGATCGGATTTCGCGTGGCCGCCCAGCTCCCCCTGCTCCTCTCCCCTCCTGCCCGGGAAGCCCCGGAGCCAATCAGAGCGTCGCGGAGCTCCCGGTTGTAGAGTCCCGAGCCCGGGACCCGCCCCTCTTTGTTGCGGTGGCCAATGGACGCGTCCGGAACATCGGCGGCTGCCCGGGTGACTCGGTTATATGTCACAGAATAACATTCGAGAATGGGACATGGAATGAGGCGACGGCCGCAGCAGCCCCAGCAGCCCCAGCAGCCCCAAGCCCAGCAGCCGCAGCCGCCGCAGCAGCCCCCGCCGCCCCCGCCGCCCCTGCCGCCCCCGCCGCCCGGAGAAGCTCTGCGGCCATGAGGCCGGCCGGCCGGAGGTAGGGTCCCGGAGCTGCGGCGCGCCCGCCTCGCGCCCCGCCCGCAGTCAGTCCCCAGGGTGCCTGGCGCTGGAACTCGGGGAGAGGGGCGGGTGGAGCCACTTGCACCGGCGCCTGGGGGCTGCAGCCAACCCTCGCCCACCGGCTCCGGGAGGCCCTCCGGGCGGAAAAAGGGCTGCCTTTGCAAGCCGAGGCTGCTGCTGCGCCCTCGCGGCAGCCTGGGCGCTCACGTGCCGGCACGTTCTGGGCTCGGCTGGCGCTCCGCCACATCTGGCACCAAGGAATGCGTGGAGCCTTGCGGGGACCTCCTGCTCCTTCACGCAGCACGAGCTGTCTTTCTTCTCCCTACCCGTCCACTCCGCACCCTCCACGCTCCTTGGATTCCCCCTCCCGGTGTCTAGGGGTGTGTGAAGCTTTGGGGCAAAATTCGAGTCGCTTTCCTCGGGAATTGCATGACTGCAAGCTCGTGTGCAATTGCTGGGGGGGGGGGGGGCTGTCGGCCCGCGGAGGTGGGGGGAGCGGGGAGTGACGCGGGGCCACTCCGAGGCCCCACCGCCGTTGGACACAGTGGCCCCCGCCTCGGTTCCTCTGGTGTCCACTTACCCGTGGTGTGTGCTGTGTCTCCACTGATTCAGGCTCGGCCGGTAAGCGGAGCTCCAGCCGCCGCTCCCGGTTCGCGCGTCCTGCGGCAGCCAGAGGCATGGAGAAGGCCGTCCCCGCGGGGCGCTGATCCCCGCGCCACGCCCGCGCGCACACGCCCCCCGCCGCCGCCGCCGCAGCAGCGCGTCCCCCGCACCCCTACCCCGCCCCGGCCCCACCATGACCGGCTCCGCGGCCGACACTCACCGCTGCCCCCACCCCAAAGGCGCCAAAGGCACCCGGTCCCGGAGCAGCCACGCGCGGCCCGTGAGCCTCGCCACCAGCGGGGGCTCGGAGGAGGAGGACAAAGACGGCGGGGTGCTGTTTCACGTTAACAAGAGCGGCTTCCCCATCGACAGCCACACCTGGGAGCGCATGTGGATGCACGTGGCCAAGGTGCACCCCAAGGGGGGAGAAATGGTGGGCGCCATCAGGAACGCCACCTTCTTGGCAAAGGTCAGAGGCTTCGATGGACGGGGTGGGGTGGGCAACGATGGGAACGCTTCAGTCTGCGTAGCAAGTAGTGGCCATGTCCATTTTCCTGGTCCAGCTCTGAACTCCCTTATGCTCCCCATTCTTCCGGCCGGTCTTCACCCCCTTTGCTTGATAGAGATGTTTGTCTTGGAAGCCTTAGAAATGGGGGAGGGAGAGGTAGAGGGCTTCCTGTCCTGGGACTGTGTGGTCTGGCCATGCCAAGAGTTCTTTGAATCTCCAGCCAAACTCTGTTTGCTCACCCCCATGTACATCCTCCTCCAGCAAAAGCTGTAGCCACCAGGTAACACCAGCAAATGCACAGGCCCCCCTAGGGATCCCACCCTACTTTTCGTCTTTGGAGACTCTAAGTCCTCCCCTGTCTCTCCCTTGCAAATGATTTATCAGGCTGTGAATGAATTTTGCAATCAACCAGTCAGACTTCTCAGCGTGAATCATTTCTAGACTTTTTGCCAATTTTTTTTTTCATGACAGTGACTTTCACCTCTGAAACTTGCAAAGCAGTGAACTGTCTCTTTTCTCAGCTTATCTGCGCTCGAAGAAGAAAAAGAAGAGTTTTGGCTATTGCTTGAAAGGGACTTTCCAGTGCACATGATGCATTAGTCTCACTGGATAGAGAAAGAGGTTCAGGAGTGAAACTCTTTCTACCTTGGAGAGAAGCCAGTGAGCAGACTGAGTTTGGTGGCTGAGGATATAGTTAGTAAGACAGAGGGAGAGAGATGTGTGGTGGTCACTCTATGAGACCTCACAATGCAAGCTGCAGAGAAATGCTGCAGAGCCTGGGGGTTATGGCAAGGCAGATGGTTTCCATTGTCCCCTGGGGACACTGATGTGGCTGAGAACATTCCTGGGCTGGTCTAGAAATGCCAGACCTGGGACCTGAAAGGCCATCTGGCTGAATCCCCAACCTGGAGCATTTGGTGACCTGAGCATCTGAGCCCTGCAGGCCAGAGAGCTGTGTGTGCCCTTGGGGGGAGTGACAGAGCCTGGACGCTTCCTGCTGAAGTCAGTCAGTGCTTTCTTACAGCAGGTCAAGGAGATCTTCATTATGCCCAACGAGGATCTTTCCTGCTTCAGTGTCAGCTGTAATTACCTTGCTGGGTTTTCCTTGAGCATGAGAACAACACTGGTCTTGGCCAGTAGTTCTGACTTCAGATTTTGTCCTTATTTGAGTGAGCCTTGCTTTACTTAAGGAGGACCTGGGAGCCCCCCCTTTTTTTTAGGATTTTATTTATTTATTTGAGAGGGAGAGAGAGAGAGCACAAGAAGGGGGAGCAGGAGAAGCAGACTCCCTGCTGAGCAGGGAGCCCGATGCGGGACTCGATCCCGGGACTCCAGGATCATGACCTGAGCCGAAGGCAGTCGCTTAACCAACTGAGCCACCCAGGTGCCCAAGGAGGACCTGGGAGCCCTTTAAGCATGGAAGAGAGGTGGCCACAGGGGGCAGAGGCCTGTTCCTGCTGTCCCATGCTGCCATTCTAATTCAGCCCCCTGACCGCTGACCCTGCTTCTAACTGTGGCTTCATCTTCCTCCTGGCCTTGTGTGGGGGGACCCCTTTCCTCCATGGAAATCAGGGAATGTTTGTTTTGGTGGAGACTGGTCTCCCACCTCTCAGCAGAATCCCTTCTTCTTTCCAGAGACCTCGTGGGGATGGGGGGCTCATCACCTCACAGGGCAGCTGGCCCCAGGGCCTGGCCAGATTTGGGTTTTGGTGGTTGGGAAACTCTTTCCTTCGGTGGCACAGAAATTCTCCTTCTTCATCTTCAGCCCAACGTCCCCGCAGATTCTTGTGTTGCTCTTTGAATCATGGCAGCACATATCTACCTCCTTCGCTACTCATAGCTCCCTAGAATGTTACAACACGGTGCTCTTGGAGTAAGGATGGGACTTGGAGTAAAAATCAAGGGACTGAATTCTAGTCCGGGTTGTGCTACCTCTGGCTTTGTGGCCTCAGTCACTCACTTAAAAAAAAAAATCTCTGGCCTTAGTTTTCTCATCTGTAAAATGGGAGTAGTCCAGATTTCATATAAATTTCTTTCCAACTCTTCAGTCCCTTGATGATATGACTTGTACGTCTCCAAGTCTCCAATGAGACAACAGAGTTGACTTAGAACAAGCCCTCAGAGCCGTGACCTTCCATCATTCTGCATCTTCCTTGAGTTCTTTGTCCTCATGCATCTCCCTTCACTGGGTCTTAGTGTCACAGTTCCCAGATCTAAGCACTCTCCTCCCCCTCTTTCTAGGACACTTGCTAGTTTGTCACCAGTCAGCCCTCTGAAATAAGCACATATGAAACACAATATTCTCAGTGTTGTCTGAGCGGTTTAGAACACAGTTTACTCTTCCCTGAGACCTGTACCTGATGCTTCCACAATTGTGGCTGAATGCTGCGTTCTTTAAAAAAAAAAAAAAAAAAAAAGTTCCCTTTTTTTATATAGCAGCCACACTGTCTTATCTTTTCACAGTAACCTGAAGTCATATGAGAACTCCTGCCAAGCCAGGAAAACCCCAAGCTAAACATGGACCTTGGCTTTTTGAACCTAAATAAAAAACTTAACATTTCTCTCTCTTACATTGCATCATACTAGCTGGTTCTCTCCCCCACCCCAGCTCCATCTCGGCATCCCTTTCTCCCAAGTCCTGACATTCCCCAACCCCTGACCCCTACCTAGGTCCTGAGATGGGAAACAGCTTCAAAACAGCTCCTGGTTCCAGGGGCTGCTCCTCTCTGGTCCAAGGGCTGTTCTTGCACTCAACTTGGCAGACTTTTTCCTTTGGGTCTGTGTCCTTTTCTCCTTTAACCAGTGTCTTGCTGAGGACTTTGTACAGAAGAGGGGTATCAGGTGGTGGTAGAGGGTTGGAGAGTTTCAGGGAGGCTAACCTTTTTTGGCAATTGAATATAGACCAAGAAGCAAAAGAGGACAGGGGAAGGTACCAAAGGTTTAAGAGGAGGACTGAATGATGCTTCTTTGCAGGACATTCTGTGAGCAGCCATGGAAGTTCTGCCCACAGGTCCAGGTGCCCCTGTCGGGGCGGGAGCAGGGGGTGGGGGGTTCGGGGGTCCGGGGCTCACCTCCTCTGCAAGCCTCCTTTTAAATGTGTGACTGCAGGCCTCGCCTCTGGTGGTTACTGGGTCCAAGCTAGCAGCTGACTAGGTGAAGGCCGGGGCTTTTCAGAGAAAGTACCAAAAAGCAGCAGTCGTTGGAGGATGATAGAGGAAGAGAAGGGAGAAGCAGAGAGAGTGGCTGGCCCAGAAAAACCAGCAGGGTGTGCTAGGAAACAGCTCCTCCGCTTCTCTACTGGCTGAGCTGGACTCTCCAAGGGGCAACCAGAATGGATTCAGCAGGAAGCAGCAATAGTTTCTTAAAGACCCCGTGTTTCTGTGCCTCATTCTCATGTCATTTCTAAATTGGGAAAGAATTCACTTTTAGAGGACTCAGCTTTGACTGAGCGGAGAAGTGTGAGACTGTGGGGGGGAGAGTTTGCAGTCAGAGCCCACTCCTGCCCCCTGCTAGTTCACGCAGGCGGCTCACTCCTGCCTGTGTCCTCGATTCAGAACCATGGTCTGTCCTTCCTGCTTGGCCCAAGGTTGAGACCCCGAGAGCTCCACACCAGGCCGCCTTCAGCAGGTTCCTGGCTGCCCCTGATGCAGAGGCCTGGGGTCCATCCTAGGCTCATGAGTGATGTTCTCTGCTCCTTCTCCAAGTTGCCAGAGAAGATTCTTCTGCCTGGTGTGTCTGCACAGGCACCTGTACTTTCCAGAGCAGGGACGGCAAAAAGCTTTGCTTTCTCTTAGTTCTTTCTTGTTAAAGATTCCTGGTGCCGAGTGTTCTGGCTTGCCTCCTTGCTTCCTTTTCTGCCTTTCCCCTTCTCTTGCTTATGGGGATGCCAGTTACACACCTATGTCCATTCACGTCATTTCTCCCTGCATTCTTTGGACAGGTAATTGTGTTTGCTGAGAATGGGATGAGAGAGAGCCTGACCACAGAAGCCTTCCCTGTGGCTGGTTGCATTATTCGTGAACAACTATCTTCCCATCTGGCCCACTCCTACCTCCTGCCCCCCACCTCTCAGGGTCCCGAACCCCAGACCACAGGCACAGTGCCTGTGTAGAGAGGCTGGTTTTGATCTCTTCCCTCTGGATTCCGCCTTCATCAGCTGGGCTGTGACTTGAGGGGCTGGTTGCAGGAGGCAGGAGGCAGGAACCTTGAGGGGAATGGCCATGGAAAATCTAGGCTGGGGTTTCAGATGAAACAGGGCAGGAAAATAACATGAGGAGGGACTCTTAGGACCCGTCAGGGAGAAAAAAAAAAAAAGTGTGCCATGGGCATTTTATAAAAAGGTTGTACCAATTTATGTTCCCATCGTGCCTTATAAGAGCATCCCCATCAGCATTAGGTGTCCACATTTCAGAATATCTCTACTAATTGGAGGTGAAAATGGCATTTTGCAGTGGTTTTACTTTGCATTTCTTTTTTTTTTTTAAGATTTATTTATTTATTTATTTATTTATTTATTTATTTATTTATTTATCAGAGAGAAAGAGAGAGAGAGTGTGCACAAGCAGGGGGGACTGTAGGCAGAGGGAGAGGGAGAGGCAGACTCCCCACTGATCAGGGAACCCGATGCAGGGCTCTATCCCAGGACCCTGAGATCATGACCTGAGCTGAAGGCAGACGCTTAACTGACTGAGCCACCCAGGTGCCCCTTTACTTTGCATTTCTTAAATTATTAGTGAGCTTGAAATTTTTTTTCAAATATTTATTCACTTCTTTTGTGAATTGCCTTTTCATGACTGTTTTAAAAATTATGGTAAAATATACATAACATAATTTACCATTTTAACCACCTGTAAGTGTACAGTTCTGTGCATTAAGTAATTCACACTGTTGTGTTCCATCTCCAGAAGTCTTCCTTCTTCCCTAGCTGAAACTTTGTACCCATTAAATGCTAACCCCTCTTCCTCCCTCCCCTCAGTCCCTGGCAACCACCCTTCTGCTTTCTGTCTGTATGAATTTGATTACTGTGGGTGCCTCATAAAGTTGGCCCCCTTTCTCCACTGTTTCACCTTCTATGCTTTCTGTCACCCATGGTTACCTGCCGTCTGGAAGCAGATGATCCTCTTTCTGACCTGTGGTCAGAAAGTCAATAGTAGCCTAACGCCAGGTCACGATGCCCACGCCATTCCCCTCATTTCATCTCATTGTGTAAGCATTTTATCACCTCCTATTTCAAGAAGGGTGAGTACACTGCAATAAGAGACTTTGAGAAAGATCGTATTCACGTAATTTTTATTACAGTACATTGTTATACTTGTTCTATTTTATTGATTATTTTAATCTCCTGACTGTGCTTAATTTATAAATGAAACGTTATCATAGGTATATGTATGTATGGGGAAAAAAACATAGTATAGATAGAGTTTGGCACTATCTGCCAATTTAAGCATCTGTTGGGGGGGCGTCTCAGAACGTATGCCCTGTGGATAAAGGGGGACGACTGTATAAGAGGTATCATATAATATTTGTCCTTTTATGTTTTGCTTATTTCACTTAGCATGTCCTCAAGGTTCACCCATGTTGTAGCTTGTGTCAAAATGTCATTTTTAAAGGCCGAATAATATTCCATTGTATGTATATACCACATTTTAAAAAATAAGATGTGCCCAATGTGGGGCTCAAACTCATGACCCCTGAGATCAAGAGTCACACAGTCTACTGACTGAGCCAGCCAGGTGCCCCTGTACCACATTTTAAAATTTATCCATTCACCTGTCAATGGACGTTTGGGTTGCTTCTACCTTTTGGGCCATTTTTTTTTTCATTAAAGCCCAGAGAGTTTTCTTTTCTTTTTTCTTTTTTTTTATTTTAAATAATCTCTACACTCCATGTGAGGCTCGAACTCATGACCCCGGGACCAAGAGTCACATGCTGTACTGACTGAGCCAACCAGGTACCCCTGAAGAGTTTTCTTATAACTTTGTATGAACTGTTCATGAATTAAGGATATTAGCTCATGGTCAAGATGTGTCCCCAGGGGGAAGCGGACATGTTCTCCTCTTCCACTGGGGTGAGAAGCATCTTTGTGATGTTCCACATTGAGTGTGCAGAGACTCAGGCCCAGCTGATTCTGTCTTCCAGTTCCAGAAAAGTGAAGACCATTCAGGCTTCCCCAGTCTAGATCCCAAAAACACATTGTTGATGAATAATAACATAGCCAACCCTTCCAGAGTGCTGAGTGCCAATCCCAAGTTGCCTGCTTTGTACATTAGGTCCTACAATCCTTACAACCAGCCCAGAAGGTTTGAAGTGGGTGAAACTCTCCTGTTGTATCAGGAAAGAAACAGAGGCTTAAAGAGGTCATGGAGCTGGACAGGGTCCACAGCGAGTAGGTGACAGAGCAGGGACTCGGATCTTGTGTCGGTCTCATGCTTACCGGCCAAGGAGCCCACGTGGTTTATATGGTGCACCGTCGTGTGGGGGTGTTGGAAGCCTGAGGTGCTGGTTGGGAGCCGGCCCCCAGCCCAAGCCCCAGCCAGCTACCCCAGACGGCAGGGTGAGTTGTAGCCTGATGACATCAGCCCCTCAGCTGTCTCAGCTCCTCTCCCCACTGCAGCCCTGATCCCCAGCTGGGGCCTGGGGAATGTGGCCACAGCTCCTGCACTCTCTCAGCCGGGCCTGAGGTAACCAGGCGGCTGTTTTTAAAAGCCCTTGGGCGCCATCGGGCTGCTATTCTGAGGACCAGCTGCTGCCTGACCCCCACCCCACCATCTGGCTCTTGTGGGCTCTGTTGGGCTTGGTGGCTGGCCCCCGTAGCCACCTCTGAACCAAGTCCGTGTGGCTGTGGCAGGGCTCTGGCCAAGGGACACCCCTCTGAGGATCCCTTAGGTGGCCGGTGATTCTTTGAGGCATTTCCCCATGCTTTTACCATCTTTTGTATTAAATAGACACAAACAGCACTTTTCTGTGTAGAAATATGCGTGTGCCTTAATGCTGTCTAATTTCCCTCCTTCCTTCCTCCGTCTCTGTGTTCCCTTGCCTCTGGCCTAGAGCTTGGAATGTAGCAGGTGCTAAAGAAATGTTTGCCTACATCTCCCCTTCTCTCCTCACTTCTCTGTGCAATCTCTGGCATTCTTCCACAGAATTCCAGGTATGGGTAGATCAGTGGATGTTACTGCAAAAAGCAAGGACAAGATGGACACTTCTAGTGTTTGTAAGGGCAGAAATACAAGGATACCTTTCATAATACATACATTTCATCGGTGTGTGTGTACGTGCACCTGCGTGTGTGGGAGGGTCAAGTGAGGGAATGGTCACGTTGGAACGTTTTGCTCCCCAAAATTCCTCTCCAAGACAGAACTGTGATTTGAGTGGATATGTTGTAAACAACATGTAGTTTGTAGAACAGCTGTGCATGCATGTACACACACCCCCTCGCGTTCACACAAACACACACACTCACACACACTCGGCACCTTGGCTGTGAAGCAGGACGTGTGACTAGTCTCCTTTCTGCTGGAGGGGCAGTTGCTGTGAAGTAGGAAGTTGCAAAGCCAAGAGAAAAGAGAAGCACTGAGAGGAAACGAATGTCAAGTAGCATTTTAAGTAACCGAAGCTAAAGGTGTAGAAGGTGTGGAAGGCGTGGAAGTATGGAAGGGGCCCCGCCACAGGCCCAGGGGCAGCGCGCCCTCCAGCCTCAGTGCGGGGCCTGAGCCTGGAGAGCAGGGAGAGGGCCAGGGCATGTCCTTCGGCAGTGTCTGTCTCTGGCACTCAGCCAGGCTGCGCAGCACTGTCCCCAGGTCTCTCCACCGGCGGCTTCACCTTCTGTCAGCTGAGCACTAAATCCCCAGGGCCTCCCTTTCCCTGTGTTCTCGAGGCTTGAGGATGAACTAATCCGTCCTGAGGCCCCTTCTGCTCCTCCCTAAGTGGCTTAAGCCTGGAGGAGCCTCCCCTTTCCACAGGCTCACAGGGGCCGAGTGTCTCTGTCACCAACAGCCCTGCCCCGCCGGAGGCCAAGCTTATGAGACTGAGAAGCATATAGGGGGAAGAAAGCACACACCGTCCCTTTCTACCCAGGAAGAGAAGGGCTGGATTAGAAGCCCTTGCTCGTTCTTGCTCTTGGCCTCATGGGCAGGGATGCTCAGAGCTGCCCGGTGTCTCAGAGCTGGTGTCTTAGCTCTAAATTCCTGAGAAGAGGCACTTACCTCCCGCTTTCCAGTCCTCGCCTGATGTTGCTCCTTTCTTTTCCCAGCAGTGGTTAGAACATGCACTCAGTTGTAGACACTCGGTGGGTGTTGACCAAGGGGCAGGCAAGGAAAAGAAGAGGTGCCTGGGCAGCTGGGGGTGTTCATGAGTCAGAGGGGCTGCCCTTACCTGGGAAGAGTCATGGCAAGAGGGGAATCTTTGCTAATCCACTTGGGCCAAACTCAGGGAAGGGCCGCGACGGGCGTGGTGTTGAGGAGAGATGGCACGTGCGGCGCCATGTTGCATTTCTTCAGGGCACCATTTGTCTTGTATTCAGTAGTGTCCTGGAGTATAATGGGTCATACCAGCCATGCAGCAAAAGGTGTAGTCATGCAGTAAAAATGTGAGGGTTAGTGGGGCGCCCCTGTGAATATCCTGGGCCAGGCTGAGTGGGGGATGCTATAGGACATGGTCCTTGGCTTCAAGGAGACGACGCTGAGGCTCCCATGGGGAGGCAGGCTGCGTTCACATTCACAACCCACAGAGGGCCATAGCGAGCCGTGGTGCCCCAAGGCAGAGTGTATGGAGGGAACACAGACAAGCAGGACTTTGGCAAGGGACCACGTGGTCCGGGGAGACCTTGTGCAGGTGGCCGTCTGCTGTCAGGAGCAGCTCTCATGTGCTTTCAGCCCCTTGGCTGCCCTCAGACATTGGGCCCCGGAGCATCTCCTTGATAAAGAGTTCTCTCTCTACTTCTTTGCAGCCTTCGGTACCCCAGGTTCCGAACTACAGGCTGTCGATGACGATCCCAGACTGGCTCCAGGCAATCCAGAACTACATGAAGACACTACAGTATCCTTCCAGCCAGGGTCTGGGCAGACCCCGCGGGGACGGGTGTGGTGATCTCGAGCCTGGTGGCAGGTCTATCCCCAGCTGGTCAGTAAATGCTCTAAGGGTGGTGGGGCCGGGCATAGAGGGATGCCCCAGTGTGAGTCTGGAAGGCACGATAATAGGGGATGTACTTGCAATGATCAGACCCTTCCCCTGTTAGGCAGGTGCGGGCCGGGAGGGCAAGGCGCAATGAGGCGGCAGTGGCCACCTGGAGCCCCTCTTCCTTCCTCCCTCTCTCCTCTCCCCTCCCCAGTCATCTTTGTTTCCTTCCTCTGTTCCTCTACTGTCTGTCTTTCTCCCTCTTCCCTCCTGGGCTTCTTTCTGCTCTTTTTCTTTCCCTTCTCACTTTTTGCCTTCATCCTGACCACTTACAATCTCTAGGAGGCCCACCTGGCCAGACCAGCCGGACTCTGGCCCTTCGCTCTGCCAGAGTCCGTGTGGCTTGTTTGTAGCCAGGATTAGATCTGTTCTGTGGGCCCGCACCAGCAGCACTGTAAGAACAAAGGAGCAGAGGAGGCGGGTTCATTGGCCACTGCTGGTATTTTTTTTTTTCAGGGATAGGAATCAGATGGGAGCTGGGCTGTCAGAGGTGTCTGTGGGAGGGACAGACCGTTTGCCCGCGCCTGTGAACATCTCAGAGCTAAGCCAGCATCAGACGCCCTACCGAGGCAGCTGTTGGCCCCCTAGCCCCCAGCACATTGTCCAAGAGGTCAGTTTTCTGCTGACCTCTGTCCTTTGTCCCGAAAGACATAGAACTCAGCAGAAAGGATTTCATGGGGCACTGCACACATGTTCCCACGCGCCCCAGAAGAGGCCCTTCCTCTCTGTGCCATATGCAAGCATCTTTCCTGTGGATTTGTGTGTCTTCTCTGAAGGGGGGCATACCAGAGGAGAGTAACACCAGTTGCTACTGATTTGGGTAGGCAGATTACTTCATTAGCCTCGCAGTTCCCACTTCACAGGTGATGAACTCCCCTGCGTGGCATCTTCCCGGTGGAATCCTGAAAGAAATAGTAGAGGGGGAGATGGCACCAGCCCCCGGGGGTGAAGCGAACAGCCCTAACCCTGAGCAGGCTATCTGCTGTTGGTGCTGATTCCCAAACTGGGACCCCCAGGGAGCATAGCATAAACTTCTGCCAGGATAGCCTTAGACCCCAAGAGCCCAAGGGTGTGACTGACTCCTCACAGAACATTCTAGAAGGTGACAGAAATTAGAACTGCTCCCCACTTCCATCTAGCACATGATCTTCACAAAGGATCATGCAGCCAGAGATGAAAGGGAATGAGCCTGGCTGGGGATGCCCTGATAGGGGCAAATATGCATCATTTGCTCATTCTTCCATAAACCCTACAACATGTTCTCAGCCAAATTTTCACAGTTTGCCTGAAGGATCTGCTTTTTCATTTTCTTCTCTGACCCATAACGATGGTCACTGACCTAGATCAACTGACTGCAAAGAGGGCTGGAAAAGGGAAAGCGCCGCAGGCTGCTGGGATCGTGCCCCTGGTCACCTGGCCGTTGGAGCCAATGCGCAGAGAAGGCAGAGGGTGACCTCTGTTTTCTCTTCTGCCCAGACTTTCATAGGCACACGTTGGAGACATTGCAGTTTCAGTTCCAGACCACTGCAAGAGAGCAAATATGGCAATAAAGCCAGTCCAGTGAATTCTTTGGTTTCCCAATACACATAAAAGTTATGCTGACACTAACTGATAACATACCTGGAATAACACATCGAAAGCGCGCAATGACATATTTAAAACAGCAACCTACATACCTTAATTTAAAAGCCTTTATTGTCAAGAAGTGCTAACCATCCTCTGAGCTTTCATAAGTCGTAATCGCTGATCACAGATCACCATATCACATTATAATAATAATGAAAAAGTTTGAAATGTGAGCATTACCAAAATCTGACACAGAGACACTGAGTAAGCACATGCTGTTGGCAAAATGGTGTGGACAGACTTGCTGGATGCCGGGTTGCCACAAATCTTCGTGTGTTTTTTTTTTAAGATTATATTTATTTATTTGACAGAGAGAGACACAGTGAGAGAGGGAACACAAGCAGGGGGAGTGGGAGAGGGAGAAGCAGGCTTCCCGCTGAGCAGGGAGCCCAACGCGGGGCTCGATCCCAGGACCCTGGGATCATGACCTGAGCCGAAGGCAGATGCTTAACAACTAAGCTATCCAGGTGCCCCCAAATCGTTGGTTCGTAAAAAACAAAACAAGAAACCATAGTATCTGCAAAGGGCAGTAAAGTGGAGAGCAATAAAAGGAGGTATGCCTGTATTTAGGTCTTTGGAACTTCCTACGGCTTTGTCCTGGACACAGTAACACATGCTTGGCTACCAGGCTAGTCCTCACTATAGACGTGCTCCTTTGGGGACATGAAAAGATAAATCCTGCCTTCCCTTCGGACAGCTTCAGAGTGTCAGCCATCAGGAATGCTGATCTTGCATGGGCTTCCAGAAAGACAGGTGCCCCCTGAGCTCTGCCACATGGGGAGAGGCCTTCTGAGGGTCAGCTCGGGCTTAGGAAGTATCTCACTCTGAAGGCAATGTTTACAATAGGCCTTCCCCCCAGCTCACTTTCTGGGGCTCATAACAGTAAGGAACTGAGAATGGAAGGCCAGGCAATTTTTTGTTACTTTATCATGGGTTGGTCTCACTTTACACACTAGGTGTATAGACTGGATCTGTGAACAGGAAGAAAGGCATACAGGTGGCATTTTTGTCCACTGAATTCTACTTTAAATTTACTAGGAATCTCGGGGCGCCTGGGTGGCTCAGTTGTTAAGCGTGTGCCTTCGGCTCAGGTCGTGATCCCAGGGTCCTGGGATTGAGCCCCACATCAGGCTGCTCCACGGGAAGCCTGCTTCTCCCTCTCCCACTCCCCCTGCTTGTGTTCCCTCTCTCGGTGCATCTCTCTCTCTCTCAGATAAATAAATAAAATAAAATAAAAATAAATTTACTAGGAATCTCACTGTTTGAATGAGATCTTTGGTCAAGTAAAAAAATCTCTTCACAGTGAGGATACATAGCCCCTCGTTTTTCTCTTTTCCCTCTAAGGTTTTTTATATTGCATTTTTCAAAAGCTGGGCAAGAGCCTATATACTGTGATGGGCTCTTCTTATGGCTCATGCTGATAATTTCCAGCTTGGTGAGCTTGTTAGAATCATCTTCTGGCTCTCACCCTGGAACCTCCAACACAACAGTCCAAGGCAGTGTGACTCTGAATGACATCAAGGGTTAGGACCATGGCCTGAAATCCGAATCTCCAGGGGGCGGAGCCCAGAGTCTCCTTATAATGAACCTCCCACCCCACACCCTCCAGTAGTTGTTACGCAGGTGTCGGCGGGGGTAGCGGGACGGGGGAGGGGGGTCCTAACCCTCCTTGGGAGGGTGTGCAGCGCCCCCTTCTGCCACTGCCTATACCACTCTAGGGTCACACATCTACTCTCCTACCCCCTGCCAGGGTTACAAGTTCTCGATTCATGAGCACCTTCCCAACATGTGCTTTTTTCTATAGAATTTTGTTTGAGGCAGGAAAGAGAAATGTGTAAAGCAACTTTTCTTTAGGCTCTGAAAAAAATCAAGATCTAGTCTCCGAGAGCATCGCATCAGGGAATCTTTGATCTCCTTCAGAATGACCTGGTGCTGGCTTGCCAGTCCCTGACACTTTCTGGGCAACCAGCTAAATCCCAAGTTGTGGGTAATAGTGTCATCTTCTCAAACTTAGTAACCATGGTCTAGTGTCGGTCCAGTGAAATGAAGGTGATGTCTCCACAGTAAACTTTGCTGCAGAGACTGCACTATTGAGGAGCCCTACTGCTATCCTTCCACCCTTCTATCCATCATCCTTCCCTTCCATCCGTCCATCTGCCCATCTGGCCACCCACCTGCCTACCCACCCGTCCCTCCATCCGCCCTTCCATTTCATCTACCTTTCCATTCCATCCACTCCTTCCGTCCATTTATCCATCCATCCATCCACCCACCTCTACTGTCTATCCATCCATCCACCCTTCCAAGCCATCACCCTTCCATTCTATTCATTCTTTCCATCCATCATCCATCCATACATCTATACATCCATCCACCCACTTTCTCATTCCATCAATTCCTTCCGTCCGTCCGTCCGTCCATCCATTCATCCACCTACCTTTGCATTCCATCCGTTCCATTCAACCTTCCTTCCTTTCATTCAGCCAGCCACCCTTCCACCAATCCACCCATTTATCCATCCATCTGTCCACCTGTCTATTCATTTATTCCTCTTTCATTTAATAATGTTTGCTAACTGGAGTATGTTGGATCTGTGCCAGGCTTTGTGGGTGATATAAAGGTAATGAATAAATGGTCCTAACTCCCAAGGAGTTTGTAGCCTAATAAGGGAATTAAGACATGGTTTCAACTAAACAGAATACAGAGCAGATTGAAAGTAGCTATTATAAAGGTCCAAGGTGTTTTGAAGCTTAAGTTAGAAATTAGATTTTCAGGGCACACAGTGAGGAGTAAGAGGCTCTTGGCTACCTTCTGGCTACTGGGCACTTTCCAGAAAGTCCCTCACTCTTCATTCCTCCTCACTTTAAGAAATCAATGCATAGCTTCCTCTGCTGGATCACTGGGACCTTTGGAGTTTTCTGTCACTTTCCCTTTACATACTTCACACAGATACAATCATACAGGGACCCAGTTCTTTGAAATTAGGAAAATGAGACCGCTGAGTGGGTAAGTGGTGCGTGATCTGTGGGCCAGGGGACCCCTCTCCTACTCGAAAGCTGTCAACTCCCTCTCCCACCCTTTATCCCTGTATCCCCTGCTCCAACGTCCTGGTCTGTAAGGGGTGGGGGTGGGGGTGCCCCAGGGCCAGTTTGGCGGTGGGGCTAGGGGCTGGGCCACTCTGATAGCTAAGCTCTCTGGGGAAGACTAACTCTTACAGGGGTGCGGGAGGCCTGTGAAGTTGGTTTCTGTTTTTGTTTTTGTTTTTTGACTAGGCTCCATGCCCAGTGCCACACAGTTTCAGGCTTCTTTCTGGCAATGCAATTTCAGAGTGTATCTTTTTTTTTTTTTTTTAAAGCAGGCTCCATGCCCAGCGCGGAGCCCGATGCAGGGCCTTGAACTCACGACCCTGACATCAAGAGTCAGACACTTAACCGACTGAGCCACCCAGGTGGCCCTGAAGTTTGTTTTATGTGGTCTCCTTTACTTGCTCTTTGTAATGCCCCTTGTCCTAGGGCAACGAGAGAATGCCATGGCATATAGGCACTAACCTCCCGGAACTAATGCTTGGAGAGAGGAGTGGAGAATTTAGGAATTTAGTTCTGCCGGGTCCAGATGTGCTTTGGCTCCATCCTGCACAGCGAGCTCTCCCCTTTCACTCTATAAACCTGCATGGCACCTGGTGTGGAGACAGGCACGCTGATGGATTGACTGACAGACAGACTGCATAACTAAATAAGTCCTGAGATACTTTGCTGTGCTCTACCCTACAGGTTAATGGAAACAGCGAAAGAAATGACTCGGGAGTCCTTGCCCATCAAATGCCTTGAAGCTGTCATCCTGGGCATGTATCCTTGAAGTTACGTTTGCTCAAGTTTACTCCATAGTTGGTGGCCTCACTGTGGGGCCCAGTGTGCCTTTGTTGTCCTAGACTCACAGAGATGATGCCCGTGGTCTCCTTGGGGAAAGTGTCAAGCTCCCCCTGATGCTTCTCTTTAACTTTCACCTTCTAGAGTTGAACCAGATCAGAGTTTGGCTCCCTGGTCATTGTCAATGTAAGCTGTTAGCTGCAGCCTGCACCAGGCCCAGATCTCAGGCCAGATCTACTAGTCACGAGGAGACTTCCAACTTAGAGGGACTGCAGAGAGAACATGTATCATTATTTTTTGCATTTATCTGGCATTGCAACAGGATAGACAGTCAAGGGGAAATGGGATTATCCAAACGCATCTCTGGGGAAAATTCTAAGAGTGGGTTGCGGAGGAGACCAAGCAATGGCGTAGAGTCTTAACTCCACAGAATGTGGAGCTGAAACAAGGGTCTGGGCTCTCCCATACTTTCTGTTCCATTTTCCGCCAGACTTCTGGCTGTGGGGAATATGGTCCAGAAAAGCTGTGATGGCAAGAGAATATGATCTGGTAGAAGAGCAAAGAAACTTGCGGTCCTTTGGGGTGGATGGCTGGAAGGGACAGTGACCAAGGAGACGCAGCCTGTGGGGAATATGGTCCAGAAAAGCTGTGATGGCAAGAGCATATGATCTGTTAGAAGAGCAAAGAAACTTGCGGTCCTTTGGGGTGGATGGCTGGAAGGGACAGTGACCAAGGAGACGCAGCAAGACATGAACTTGGTAGGTGGTCCCAGGAAAGACCAGGTGGGTTGTTGAGTGCTGTGCTGAGAATTGTGACCTTCCTCCAGAAGGCAAGGGCAGCCTCCGTGAAAGATCAGCAGCAGAGGCACAACACGATCGGGCATGTGTGTTAGAGAGGTGGTTCTTCGGGCAGATGGAAGGGCAGACGGGAGAAGGAGCTGGATCTGCAAAGCCCGTTAGGAGCTGCTCCCTGAGGGAAATGGTGGTGCTTGAACCATGGTCCTGGCCAGGGGAATGGAGGTGAGGGGACATCAAGGAGATAGAATTTCCAGGACTTCGAAGCCAACTGAGTGCAGGAGTTGATGAGGAAGAAGTCAACCAATACAGTGATGAAGGCAACTGAGAGGTGAGATACTTGGGCCCAGTAGCCGGGAAGGTGGAGGAAGGAGCGGGGGGTCATCAACACCACCCGTGGGCTGATTAGCTCTAAGAGTTAGAGGAGACCAAGGCAATGAGCCCCCATTTCCGGCTTGGAAAACTGAGATTGGATAAGTACGCTGCAGCCCAAGGGAAGGGCTTGTGGGGAGAGTCAGATTTATGGGGAGGGGAGTTCAGAGTTGAATATGTTCAATTTGAGACGTGGGGTGGGGTAGGATGTCAGGGTGGGGTATTTAGAGCATGATGCTCAGGAGGGGGCTCTGCACGGGAAATAGAAATTGGGGAGCTGCGAGTGTTTAGGGAGTGGAGGCTGCTGTGGAAGGAGTGAGAAGAGAAGTTCAGCGAAGACAGCGCACCCTTTTTGGGTTTAGTTGGACATGGTGAGCCCATGACAGAGAAGAAGAAGGGAAGTTAGAGAGCTAGAAGGAAACCCAGGAGAGAAAGGCTAGCGTGACATCAGCGGAAGGGCCGGTGGCTCAGAATCAGCTTGGGAGCAGCAGGACAGATGCAGTCTGTGGGCTTGGTCTCCTGGACACGTTCACGGGAAGGGGAGTTCGTGGCCCTCTGCAGTCTGCAGGGCCCCGGCCGGCCTCGTCTGAAAGAGACTGTCCACAGGTGCCCAGGCTGACATTTGGAAAATGGCAGCTTGAGCCCTATTGTGGCCCTTCCCCCTCAGTTCCGTCCTACCTCCTCCCTGCTCCTCACAAAGGAGATGAGATGTGTGCCTGGGGAGCCCCGCCGGAGGGCAGAACGGGGTGGAGGCTGCACATGGCTCCGGGGGCCCTTCTGTGGCAGGGGTCCGCCACAGCTGTTGGGGCAGAGCCTCCTGCGAGGTTAATGGGGGTGCGCAGCTGTTGGGGATTTGCTGGGGGGGATCAGTGAGGGAAAGCACGGGCACAGGCCCTTCCCTGGGTGGACCAGCTACCTTCAGACTCTGCAGACGGAGGTCTGAGTGCACCTGGGCGGAGGCCATCTCGCTTTACACAGTAGCCACGGCCCTGCGCTATTGTATAAACCCAAGCACTACTTTAGGTTTACTGGGATTAATCAATTCTTTTGGGATTGTGAGGAATACACTTGTGACTGGCCTCTGGGCCTGTCCAAATCAGAGGACAGTGTGCTCTCGGTTTTCCTTTGTTCTTACCAGTGTGACGTTTCAGAGAAGTGCCGAGAAGGTGGGGAAGGGTGGAGGAATGGAGCTCGCACTGCTGAACTCAGGGAGATTTGACTCTTGGATACAGACAAGAAACACAGACCTGAATTACAAAAGTTACAGTATCTTTTGTCTTTTCTCTTTGGTCTTTGTCAGCATCCCTATGGCCTGCTTTTCTCTCGAGCGCAGTGAAGGACGTGACTTGGGTCATCTGTCTGTGTCGCCCACAGGCCCCTCTGCGGGTCCTGGGAAACAAGTGGCACCTCAACAACTTTGCAACAGGTCAACTCAGCTGCTGCTTGGAAGCCCAAGCCCCCCATCTTGTCCTTCCTTGTCTTCTCTCATTTGACGTTAGTCCAGAGTTCAGGATTCATTCAGGAAGAGCCCCTTCGTTTGCTCTTGCTTCAGTTCATGCGTGCGTGCGCACACTTGCACAGCCCTGCCGGAGACAGAGACCTTTTGTTCATCTTCCAAATCCTGGCAGCAGTTTAGGGGGCCTCGCTGACCATGAAGGGGCTTAATCACTGTACTAAAGTGCTATGGCTGATTCAGGTGACAGATTTGTAATTAGACGTGGGTTAAATGCTGGGCGGATCTTCCAGGAGCTTGAGCAAGGCTTCTCCCTCATCCCTAGAAAAGCTCAGGCCGCTTCCCCGCCCTCAGCCACACTTCCTTGTCCCTGCCTGCTCTGTGCCCACTTGCTCCAGGTCCCATGGCTTTCCTGATGGCCATAAAGACGGAACAAATCCTAGCGATGGCGACTTGTGACATCCCCTCCTCCCTCCCTCTTCTCCACGTGGCTGACTCTACTTGTCCCACAAGACTAATTTCACCGCGTGCCCTCTTTGCTCTCCCTGGGGGTGCGGGGCTTGCCTCTCTCACAGCACACATCACGCTGGGGTGGTTCTTTTCGGTTTGACCGAGACACCGTGGACGTAGAGCGCTGTGTAAGTTTAAGGTGAACAGCATAGTGGCTTGACGTACATGTATTGTGAATGTGTGTTTTTTTTTAATTGCAGTAAAATAGACCATAAATTTACCATTTTAACCATGTCTAAGGCGCAGTTGAGGGACATTGAGAACATTCACGTGGTCGCGCAAGCACGGGCACCAGCGGTCTCTAGAACTTCCTCTTCCCCACCTGAAATGCCACGCCCATCGAGTGCTAATTCCCCATTTTCCTCCCTCCCCCCTGACCCCCGGCAACCATCATTCTACTTTCATCTCTCTGAATTTGACTACTCCAGATACCTCAGAAAGTGAAATCATACGGTATTTGCCCTTTTGTGACTGGCTTATTTCACCTCAAGGTTCCTCTGTGTTGTAGCACGAGTCATAATTTCCTAACTTTTTGAGACAGAATAACACTCCATTGTATGTCGTACGCCACATTCGGTTTATCCGGTCACTCATCCGGGGGCACCTGGGGCACGTCCCCCTTCTGGCTGTTGTGAACATGGTCTGTGCAAGTAAGTACCTGTTCGAGTCCTTGCTTGTAATTCTTGTGGGCACACACCCAGAAGTGGAGTTGCTGGATCATATGGCAACTCTTTATGTTTCTTTTCTTTTCTTTTTTTTTTCTTGAGGAGCTGCCATACTGTTCGTGTTCTGTCCATTTTGAGTCTGTCTCCCCCGACAGGCTTCCAGAGAAGGGAGGCATTCTTCATCTTTGGCTCCACAGCGTTGCAGGCTGCCTGGCGCACGACGTACGCACCCAGTAAGGGCTTGCTCTCCTGTCTGAAACAACTGAGGAATGCCCTTATTCCCACCCCAGAGAACTTACCGCAGAAAACAAGCAGGAATGGACGTCAGGGGGCTCCGAAGGTTGTGATTTCACTCCCTTACAGCCAGTTAATCTCACAGGAGGAAGTGAAGAGAAAACAGGTAACTTTTTAGAGCGAGGAGCCATCTGTGCTTAAGTTGAGGGAAGAGGACAGGGCTGACCTCAGGGCTTCGGGCTGGCTTCTGTTAGCTTCTTTCTTTTAAGGGTACCTGGGTTGGCCCTCACTGAGGCAGTCTTTTTTTTTTTTTTAAGATTTTTTATTTATTTATTTGCGAGAAAGAATGAGAGAGAGAGAGAGCACATGAGAGGGGGGAAGGTCAGAGGGAGAAGCAGACTCCCCGCTGAGCAGGGAGCCCGATGCGGGACTCGATCCCGGGACTCCAGGATCATGATCTGAGCCGAAGGCAGTCGCTTAACCAACTGAGCCACCCAGGCGCCCCTGAGGCAGTCTTTTTAAGCCTAAGGAAGGTGTCCTCACAATGGAGGGTCATCCTTGCAGCAAGCATTAACGAAGAACTTCGGTGCGCCAGGCCCGTGCTAAGCCCGGGGACAGACACCAGCCTGCAAAACACTACTCCCACGCCTACAAGATGCAAACAAATACACAATGACAACACTGGATGATTAAGCAGCAAGTGCTACAGGGGTTCTTGAGTTGGAGAGGGGTACTTAACTCATACTGAGGAAGGTCGGGGAAGGGGGTGGGAGGGAGGGGAGAGCAGTGAGGCTGTTCTAGTCGGGGTGCCGCCGGTATAAAGAGAGGGAGCCCACACCGTCCTCACTCATGATTCTTACGAGACCCCGAAGACCTCTGCCAGGTTCGAATCCCCTGCACGAGAAGGCTGATGTGTGAGTGAAGCCATAAGAGAAGTTCTACTGCAATAGGGGGCATCATGTGGTGCAGAGTATGTGCAGTGGCATTTTGTTGAATTGGTCTCATAGCTTTGTAATGTGAGGGTCATTTAAAAGTCGTTTAAGACTTCCAGTTATATATGACTTCCCATTATGAGGGAATATATGTGCCAAGGGCACAGGAGTGGATTCTTTATGGTCTCGGCATATCCTCCAAAAATGTCTTGGGTTGACTGCGGGTCCATGTGCTGGTCCAGGGTGTGGGGGCAATGAAACTGGACAAAGGAATAATGAGCAGGGACTGAATTGTGGCAGGACTTTGGGAAGGGATTTGGACCAAGTCTGAAGAAGATGAGAGACAGGGAAAACTGAAGCAGAAGAGTTGACACGTACCACATTTTAGCTTGAATAGAACGTTCTGGCCTCTGTGTAGAAAGTCCATTGGAGTGGGGGCAAGAAATGGCAAAGACAGATTCTCAGAGAGTGGAGAACCATATCCGCTGACTGAGCACTTACCAGGCACCGGCTGCCATGGGGAGCACCTGGGTTATTATTTACCTTAGAAACTCCTTGGAGTCACCACAGGTTTTCAGCAGAAAAGTGACACCGTGAGTTTTCAACCTCCCTCTCCAGAAATACTGGGTCCTTGCCAGGACTATCCTGGGATTTTGAGATGGGCTAAAGGATGTGGTACTTCTTGTCCAGCGCTCCGTGTGTGGAGTCAGTGGGGTAGTTACATGACGCTGCCTCTGTGGGGTAGCTGGTCCCAAACTGATACAAAGGTAGGAGGCTGGGTTGCTCGATCCAAATGGGCTGATAAGTGGAGAAAGCCAATCTGTGATGCCAAGTGCGTTGGTTCAGGTGCTGGAGACGGCTTTCTGTGTGGTACCCAAGGCTGTTGGCATGGGTGTGCTAGGGGCCATGAGAGGAGCAGATGAGGGGCAGGTGTGACCTGTTCTGACGCCTTCCTTGCCAGATAATCAGCCAGTCTGGTTTTCTTTTTTTTTTTTTAAGA